GTAGTTAGTAGTGTAGTAGTAGTAGTAGAAGTGTAGTAGTAGTACTAGTAGTTGTGGTTGTCGTTGTAGTTGCAGTAGTAGCAGTTGGAATAGTAGTAGTAGTAGTCGTAGTAGTAGCATAGTCGTTGTCGTAGCGTAGTCGTAGTCGTAGTCGTTAGTCGTAGTAGTTTGTCGTTAGTCGTTAGTTGTAGTTGTAGTAGTAGTAGTGTAGTAGTAGTAGTAGTAGTCTGTTGTAGTAGTTGCATTGCACGTAGTAGTAGATAGTGGTTGTAGTAACAGTGTTGTAGTACTTTGTTTGTAGTTATTAGTAGTTTTCAGTAGTAGATGTAGTAGTAGTAGTAGTTAGTAGTAGTAGTAGTAGTTGTTGTAGTTAGTAGTGTAGTAGTAGTAGTTGTAGTAGTCGGTAGAGAGTCAGTTTTGTAGTAGTTAGTAGTTTAGTAGTAGGTTGTTGTAGTAGTAGTAGTAGTAGTGGTGATTGTAGTAGTAGTTAGTAGTGTAGTAGTAGTAGTCGTAGTATTAGTACTAGTAGTAGTAGTAGTAGTAGTAGTAGTAGTAGTAGTAGTCAGTAGTAGTAGTAGTAGTAGTAGTAGTAGTAGTAGTAGTAGTAGTAGTAGTAGTAGTAGTAGTAGTAGTAGTAGTCGTAGTAGTAGTAGTAGTAGTAGTAGTAGTAGTAGTAGTAGTAGCAGTAGTAGTAGTAGTAGTAGTAGTAGTAGTAGTAGTAGTACACATAGTGGTCGTAGTCGTAGCTGTAGAGGTAGTAATCGTAGTAGTCGTAGTCATAGCAGTCGTAGTCCTAGTCGCAATCGAAGTCGCAAGCGTAGTCGTAGTCGTAGTCGTTGCGTAGTCGTACAGGTAGTCGTAGGCGTAGTAGTAGTAGTAGTAGTAGTAGTAGTAGTAGCAGCAGTCTAAGTAGTAGTAGTAGTAGTAGGAGTAGTAGTAATAGTAGTAGTAGTAGTAGTAGTAGTAGTAGTAGTAGTAGTAGCAGTAGTAGTAGTAGTAGTAGCAGTAGTAGTAGTACTAGTAGTCGTAGTAGTAGCAGTCGTAGTACTAGTAGTAGTAGAAGTAGTAGTAGTAGTAGTAGTAGTAGTAGTAGTAGTAGCACATCCCCGTTACGAAAGTTAGTTCATCTTGGCTAACATTGACATGTGTGGGCGCTGTGGTGAGAAGGGGTATGGGAGTGATTCTTCCTTGTGGTCTCATACGGGGGAAGATTCAGAGTTGCCTGGAAGTGACCGGGAGTGATTTCTCCCTTGTGAATTTTCCAAGGGGGAGATTTTATCCTGAATTCGTTATATACTATAAATGTTACCAGGGGGACCCCCGGAAATCTCTCCCGCCAAGCCAGGCCGAAGACTGCCGTGCTAGGAGTCTACGGGGGGAAGGGGGGGCCACTTCGGAGACGCCCTAGTCGTCAGTGCTCAAGATGAGTAGCTTTCGTAACGGGTAAGTCGTAGTAGTAGTAGTAGTAGTAGTAGTAGTAGTAGTAGTAGTAGTAGTAGTAGTAGTAGTAGTAGTAGTAGTACTAGTAGTAATAGTAGTAATCGTAGTAGTAGCAGTAGTAGTAGTAGTAGTAGTGTAGTAGAGTAGTAGTAGTAGTAGTAGTAGTAGTCGTAGTCGTAGTAGTAGTAGTAGTAGTAGCAGTAGTAGTAGTAGTAGTAGTAGTAGTAGTAGTAGTAGTAGTGGTAATGGTAGAAGTAGTAGTAGGAGTAGGAGTAGCAGTAGTAGT